GCTACGACCGGGCCTTCCCTTGGCCGACCCCCCTAAGGCTGCGACGCGTATACGGGAAGGCCCGCGGCCGATAGCTGAGCGAGGTACTGGTGGTTTAAGTGAGAATCAGCAATGCAGTACCGAAGAGGTTACAATTCCCCCCCACTTCCATTCTAGAAATCACCACCACTCTGTCACATATGCGATAGAAAATTCATACAGATGTCCGCTACTTGGGCAGTATTCCATGAACGTACACTCTACATGTTGTCAAAACAACCTACAAGGGTAAAGAGGATGGGAGAACAAAAACTCTACGAATTCTAAAACAATCCAGCCAAAAAGCAAGATACATAAACATGCGCAAGTTTGATACATTACACAGCAACAGATATTGCCCCATTTGGACTGGAGTAGAATAGCAACAACATAAACAGCCCATCTGCTCTTCTGTGTTCTTTAGCTGACCTTAAAGGCATGCATGCAATAGAATGGTAAGAACCGTCATGACACACGTTCCCCGGTGATGCGAAATAAAACTCTGGCCCCTGCTGAGACTTGATTTGTAGTGGGGAAGTTTCACTCTATTGAATATACAAGGAATTGAAGGTAGTATTTTACTCTTCAGCCTTTTTTTTATGTGTAGGTGCTTTATATGATCGACATAAAATCCGACTTGTTAAATATTATGGAGGTTTAGTCAGTACAATGCCTATCTTCTCTGCTATTTTCCTGTTTTTTACTTATAAAAGCCAGTACAGCCGGCGAGGCATTTGGTAAGCCGTCAACCAGAAGTGTGATTCCTGGCTGTTATTGGACAGCGGTGCCAGCAGGACACAGATGGGTGTCGGTGACACTTTGTTATCCCCAGCCATACCGACTTCAAAAAGAAGGATAGATTCTAAGACATCGGCAGCTGAATGAACATTGCCTTGTTATGTTGACACTCAGACACATGTGATCAAATGCCACATTTGCATATTACAGCTCATCTCTCAGATACACCTTTCGCGTTAATCTGATTCCGATTCCATGTCAGCATAAAGAGCGAGGGCAGCCTTAATCTGTCTTGCATTGCTTAACGATAGATGCCAGCTCTGTCACTAGATGATCAATCCAAGCAAACTTGTAGGTGCACCCTGTGGTTTGGATTATCTTACAAACAACATGTACAAGGACGGAGACCAGCAGGGTACGGCACCACCACAGCAATCAGCTAAAAACCATTGAACTCCGTGTCTGATGGGAAGCCCTCTACACTATCACTATGTGGAGTTTGTGATTGCTGGCTGCATTGCTCGCAAAAACGATAAAGGGGGTGAAATTCTCCCTGAGAGCAGAATAACTGACAAGGTTCTGCTGGTATTATGGGATAGCGGGATGATAATGACACAACGGAAGTGAGCGAAACAGATTCCCGCAAATCCAAGAAGTAATCAAAGCATGTGCACTACCTCCTCGATGTCCTCCAGCAATCCAGTTCCTGTAATCGCGACACAATGGCAACTTGGAAACGGATCGCTGATGGAGGAGCCAGATGTCTACAAAACACCCAACCCTACGCAGGACTTCATTTCAGAATTTGTCCCACAGTTCTTTTCATGTTTGCCTTCGGGTTCCGGGTCGTATATGCTGTCCAGCACCACGGTGAGCGCTTTCTGTACGACAAGATAACCAGCTTGTAATTCCAGACTCGATTTTGTGAGCCAGTTGATCATGACTGTCGTTCCTGGAGTCTTATTACCATGATTCCCACAGATGAGGTCATAGCAGTATACTAGGAAAGATACATCCAAAACAAGTATGTTAGGAAGGATATATCCGAAACAACCTCGGGACTCTGGTGACACAACCGCCATGGAGATTGTTTACTTTTAAGGCGAGATTGGATGTCAGAGTATGCAATACAATGCATGGCCTTAACATCATAAAATACCTCATCCAGTGGGCTCTCGAACTGCAGGTTGATGCTCTCAGCATGGGCACGCATTACTGGAACTCGGATACAAGTCGCTGTGACCTTGACGGACGAGTCATTCTGTAGCACCATCACCCAAACCACGAACAGTCAAACCATGTGAGAACAGGAAGACGTGGTGCGGCGGAGAGAATCAAGTAAAGATCGGGGGGGGGAGGGGGGGAGAGGAGGGGGGAATGGGGAAGAGAGCACAAAAGGGGAAAAAGCAACAGCACCTAAGACAGAAGGTAGAGGCGGACCAAGCGAAGAAGAAGAAGAACAAGATCAAGAAAGGCCAAAGGCAGTTTATAAGTCCTGTGCTGGAACTTTACTAAAGCTGATTAGCCAAAGGCGTACCATTCCGTGAAGTCTTTCCAAAACCGTAAAATTTGCATACAGGCGTCCTTCAGGACATCCGTTAAAAATTTGAACGATGCAGAAAAGATTAGCAAGGACCGGCGCAAGGATGAAAAAAAAAAAAATGCATTCAGGGCCTTCAGGCATGCGTATAAATTCGTTGTGTTGGGCGATTTTCATGTGTTTTACGCTTTCTTCTGATTCTACACTCTATGTCCTCGGGATTCTCGTTTTCCCTTCGCAATTTAAATGAGGACCAGCACCAGACCACGTGCATTCTGCAACGACCTTCCAGTTCAGAGTACTGCATGCCTGTGCTGCCATGGTTAACGCCAACAAGGCAACACTATACCATATTGGTGATAAAGTTGTGCATAAACTGATTCAGTGATTCACACTTTTTGAGCCTCAAATTTCTCCGATTTTCTCGGCAACTCTGAAAATGGCTCTTCTATGTGGTTTGCTGAGAAATATAAGAGCGCCCACAAAATGGTAGGAACTTGCCTTGACAAGGAGATTCCCATAAAATTGTAGATGTCCTTACCAGGGGTGGTTCGGCGGCAAATTTATCCGACTCCCACTAAATAGCACTTTCCTTGTGGGACAATGGCCTTACTGTAAGAAACAGAAAGGGACTGAAGAACTGGACCTCCAGCGAGCCTCCAGAGGCTCGTTAGAGGCCTTTGTCGGTTCTCGCAAGAGTCGAGCGTCTTGGGATGAGGTAAGGTATTGTTTTAGATGTTCTGAACAATGTCGTAGTACAAACTACATCCTCCTTAAAGGAGTCAAGATCGGCGCTCTTAACAGCCATTTTCTCTAACCACTGAGCTACTAGAGACTCTATTGTCGTTTAACTTTTTTATAGTTTTTTGAAAACTCTCCTGTGCGAACCCTCTACGTCCGAGTTCGTTACCTCTCGGGGAAAAAGGCTTGGAGCCCGGCCAATCAGAGTTGCCTATATATGACATACACTTGGCCGGGGCTTCCAGCTTGCTTTAGTACACTAACGAATGCAGACCAGCGTAAGCTGCTCTTATGGCGCCCTCCACTGCTCGCCAAATGTGCAACATAACAATTAATCTTCCACTAGAACGTGGGAAGATGTGCCACCATATTTTCTGTCATTTACGCCAAATGAATCTTGCACTAGAACTTCTAAAGATGCGGCGCCATTTTTTTTTGTCCATGTGGTGAGCTAGGTTACCAGAGTAGCCCGGGACCACTTGCCCAGCCGGGCAACCCAAAAAAAGAATTCAAATTTTAATTTAGAATTTATTTTTTATTTGACATTTGGTAAAGAATTTCGATGTGACCCTGCGACAAAAGTTGTTCCGTTTATTTTTCTGCATAACATTTTTGTTTTTCAGATTTTTTGGATTTTTTTTTTTTTTTTTTGCTGGGACCTTCTTTGGTCCTTGCACAGCCAGGCCGCCCCAGAAAACAAGGTGACCCGGGCTAGGCTACCAGAGTGGCCCAGGACCACTTGCCCGACCAGGCAACAAAAAAACCATGGCAACCGTAGACCCAGACCCCGAGATGTCTGGACCAAGGCCCAGACAGGTCCAGACGTCCGGTAATCCGGACATGCACCGGACAACCGGACAGGACGGGACCCGGACCGTCTGGACCGGTACACCAGACACAAAAATGTAATAAGCATTACTAAGTACCACTAACCACAGCTTACTGTCTTTCACTATTCACAACTTGACAGCTCAATACTGTCACAGACATTCACAAAGGCTCACACAACACTTGAAACCAGTTCTCAACAGATCAATCCAAAGTCACTTCAGAAAAGGAGTACGAAAATCAGAAAGAAACAGAACTTTGAACTTCGAAGTTAGACTTTCTAATTCATATTCATACGAAAATTGAAAAGTTAAACTGTTAAGTTATTCAGATCTGCAGAAGAACAGATCTGAGATCTGGTCAGGACCAGACCTAAGACGGGATCTCAGATCTGAAAAATATCATCTCTCTCTCTCTCTCTCTCTCTCTCTCTCTCTCTCTCTCTCTCTCTCTCTCTCTCTAGCTTGATGTTCTGTGGCGCTTTGCAGCCACGCTTCATTTTCGGAATCGGACTCAGCAGAGGGAGCTGTTGGAGGCGTCTGGCGGTGTCCGGTAGACCATGAAACGGCCAAAAAATACCGGGGGCATTTTTTGTGTGGGCAGCCTAGGACCAGAAAAGCGTCCTAGGACCTCCCCAAAAGAATTTCGAACTTTTCAAAATTGGGCCCAATCCAGACCTACCGGACCAGACACCGGACCCATATCCAGACAACCGGACCGTCTGGATTCCGGTGGAGATGTCCGGCCAGTTGCCTTGAAAAAAACAGAGAATTAAAAATTAATTTTAAAATTTAAAATTTATTGTCTATTTTACATTTTGGTAAAGAATTTCGATGTGACCCTGAGGCAAAAGTTGTTCCGTTTATTTTTCTGCATAACATTTTTGTTTTTCAGATTTTTTGGATTTTATTTTTTTTTTTTGCTGGGACCTTCTTTGGTCCTTGCACAGCCAGGCCGCCCCGGAAAACAAGGTGACCCGGGCTAGGCTACCAGAGTGGCTTGCCCAGCCGGGCAACAAAAAAACAAAGAATTAAAAAATAATTTTAAAATTTTAAAATTATTTTTTATTTTACATTTGGTAAAGAATTTTGATGTGACAATGAGGCAAAAGTTGTTCCGTTTATTTTTCTGCATAACTTTTTTTTTTTCCAGATTTTTTGGATTGTTTTTTTTTTTTTTTTTTTTCCTGCTGGGACCTTCTTTGGTCCTTGCACGGCCAGGCCGCCCGGGAAAACAAGGTGACCCGGGAGGCCCGGCTGGTAGCCTAGGTGGTGCGCAGTGGAGCGAGGCCCTTAAGCTTTCGCTGTCGCTGCACTGCAGGCACTTGTGCTTTTCGCCATGCTGTCCATCGTGGAACCCTCCACCACCACATGGGAGCTTCTGCAGGGCTCTTGGGGCTTCGTAGAGGTGGCGCTCGGCAGATAAGACATCAAGGAGGACAGTAGCAGAGGATGTCGGCGGCACTGAGTCAATTGTGACCTTGTTGAGCGAGGAAGGGTCTTGGCAACAATGGTGCGCTCAGTCTAGGGGAGACTCTGCATGGGCTTTTGGGGCTTACATAGAGGTGGTGCTTCTTGGTAAAGGAGACATCAAGGAGGCCAGTAGCAGAGGATGTGGGCAGCACTGAGTCAATTGGGACCTTGCTGAGTGAGGAAGGGTCAAAGAGCCATCGCTTGGCAACAATGGTGCACTCAGCCTAGAGGAGGCTATTTCGAACTGCGTTTTCATCTGGCTGATCACAAGCAGCGGTTACTGCCAATTGCAGTTTGAAATACAGTCATCAGAGGTTAAGAGTAAGATGAGGAGGTTGGAGCAAAGTTGCAACGAGGGCGATTTTAATCACTGATAAGGCAAGGAGGGTAGAGTAAGGTGGCGAGAAGAGATTCTGTGTTAGCAGTTCATGTATGAGCGAGGTGAGAAGGGAGCTTTTGATTTCTGGTCGATCTCATCTTGCTATTATGGTGTGCACCTTCTCGAGTTGAATTGGAACGTAGTTTTCTTCGTTTCTTACGCTGATTTGTATAATGGCACTACTCAATTTTCTTAGTTTTTTTATGCTGATTTGTATGATGACACTTCACGCATGGCCACATTGATTATGCTATCCTGTGATGAAACTCGATGACATATTACAACAGCGGAGAATGGGACAAGAGCACAGTACTAAGCAGACAACATTTTCCTGTAACAAGAACGGATGGGAATTGGTTGTGGAGGGGTTCTGTTTGCACAATTGCACTTCGTTCACGTTTGTGTTTTAAACCGGGACTGGGACTTGTGGTTTCTTCTGGTTCAGTACTTCTTTCCAAAAGAACCAATAAACAAAAAACGAAACAAAAACAAAAACAAAAACACACACACAGAAGTGAGGAGGCCAGAAGAAAAGCAACAGAGAACCGAGAGCCTGAAAAGAGAGGGACATGCAGCAACTCACCCAGATCTTGTGCGTCTCCTTGACCATCTTCATTTCCTCCTCATTATAACCGTTTTCCAGCACCGATGCGTTATGAGAGAAGATATTAAAAGCGTACTGTTCACGTCACGTGAATGAAGAGCAAAAAAAATTGTTACATTCCATCCACATAAAAGCATTTGAAGGGGATCACAAGCTGTAGAAGGCTGGGGTTGTCGAATGCCAATGGGTCTCATTACAATGGTAGAATGTTGAGAGAGGCTACAAAGGAGAAAGAAGCCTTTGGCTATTGCAGGCTGGATTTCACTGACATTACTAGGTTTCGACTTTTCAACCTGTACTGATTCAGAAGACCAGGAAAGGAAAAGAGTGATGTATAGAAAAAGAAATGGACACGCCCTCTAGACAGTTGGATGGATGAATCAGATGCATTGTTTAGAAGTGCCCAATTGGATGCTGAAAAATGCAGTGTGAGGGAACTGGCCTTCGTGGGGCCTGGATGAATCTGGAAACTTTCAAGAGTGTGCTGTGCTTTTGGCCAATTCCCGGATGATTCAGATCTGCCAGTGCGAAACCTTCAACTTCTGAATTTGTTTCCCAGGTCTGAACCTCACTATTGAGCTTCTCAAGCCTGAGCAAAAGACCCCAAGCAAAAGACCCCAAACAGGTACCCTACCAGCCAAGTCCTCTTTTGGTCCCACTCAGACCCTAGACAGGTACCTTACCAGGCAACGACAAGCCGCCCGAGCTTATCTTATTCTAATGGCGCCTTGGCCCAGGACATTGCTGTTGTACCATCCTCTTTGACTTAGGGTTGTGTCAAAGATGCTAGCGGCGGAACGCAACAACCTATTCACCTCCTCATCCTATCCCCCCCACCCACCCCTTTTCCAACAAAATCTGGCGGTATTTGCAATCAGATACATTCCCGAAAGCCTGTGTCAGTACACAATAAGTCTCCCAGCTCAGAGTTTGCTGAGTCAAACCCCCGAGCACCTGCCCACACCACCAGAGGGCAAAAGCGAGGAGAAGAACTCTGCAGTGATCCATCCCCACCAGACAAGCACTCCGACAAAAGGGTGTGACGACAACAACAGGTCTTCGGAGTTTTCTTGCTTGCCTGCAATTCCTCGGTAGGGACGTGAGTATTGCATACAAACTGCTTGTACACAGTGATTGTCTTGTTGTTCTTCTCATTGTTCTTTTTGTTGTTCATTTGTGTTCTTTTTTTTCTATTAACATCAGAGAGAGAGAGAGAGAGAGAGAGAGAGAGAGAGAGAGAGAGAGAGAGAGAGAGAGAGAGAGAGAGANGAGGCCCAAGGTTTCCCGCTGGCGAACCCAAGGCAGGATGAGAGAGAGAGAGAGAGAGAGAGAGAGAGAGAGAGAGAGAGAGAGAGAGAGAGAGAGAGAGAGAGAGAGAGAGAGAGAGAGAGAGATGCATTGGTTAAGGATGCAATCAAGTGTGAACCAATCATTACACTGTAGACTTGCTAGCGTTGGCCATGTAGGGAACGAAGAGGAAAACACCAACCAAATCAACCATGGACAGGAGAAATGGAGATTTGACTCCAACAGCAATAACCACATAAAATACAAGTAATCTCAAAGAGAGCTTAGTGAATGTAACAGTGGTGATTCAGTCAGCATAAAGTTAAAACACTGCAGCTCTCACCTGTTGGCTAAATATGTTGCATGTGGGTGGCTGTCCTGCTAGCACCTGCAGAAAATAATAACAGTCACTTAAAATTGCATTCCCATCCACACACGAACATTTGAGACACAATCATCCATTTCTGAAAGCACTTGTCCATCTCTACAAGCAGATTTCAGGCACGATGGTCAAACCACCAGCACGTTTCCCACCCATTTTTCTCCGACGTGGCCGAGCTTGTGCCGCAAGTTTCGGGGTTTGGCCTGCCAGAGCAAAATGGCTGGTGGAACCAGCCAAAAGAAGAAGGCCCGCGACTATTCGTTTTTTTGGCCGCACAGCACATTTCCAGCTCTCTAAGGGAAGGGTCAAAAAAAGAACTGGTGGTTTGAGATTTCCTTATCACTGTTTCTGTTCGAGCACAGCAAGCCGCTGAGAGAAGACTGGCAGAAAGGGGGAGAAGGGGACGATGGGTGTGGGTTGAAACTTGAACAACTTTTTAAGAGAATATGGCAGGTAGTACGGCCACAATTTCTCAAAATAAAGCTTACACTTCGCCCATAGTAACGCTCCCTGCATCATCTGAATTTCGACAGATGTAACGATACAGAGTACATTACCAAGGACCCATACCAGAATTACATACACCATTTAAGAAATGCTCCAACAGAAGAAAAAAAAAGAAAACGACAGGGAGGTAACGTGAGCAAGAATAGTGCGTCAGATTCCCTGAGGTAGTACACCAAAATTATGCCAGCATTGAAATTGAGGGTTTAGGATTCAGGGTTAAAGGTTTACACAGGAGCAATGCAAATAGGGCTTGGGGTGTTGGGGATTTCGAGAGGGGTCCCGGGAGACTCTAGTTCGAACACAATTATCTGGCAGTTACAATACTGAGAGGAGTCCAACTGGGATCATAGGGATGATGGAAGCAGTAAAAACTCAGGCATAATTATGCAGGGGTGAGGGCTGGTACATCCTTATGGAAGTAATCAATGCCGTCTACTCGGGCCTCCCAGCCATAATGGGGAGAAGCGTATGCGAGTTTCTTATGTATATATTATTGACTTGCCGGGGGAAAGGAACCGGACTAGCGCTCCCAAGAGTGGTAGGAGCCAGAACCATAAGGTTCTGTTTTTTAATTAAAAAAAAACAAAAAACAAAAAAAAAGACAGAAAAGAAAACGACGGGGAAAGAGAGAAGGGGAAGGGGGGAAGGTGGGAAGAGGGGGAGAAGAGAGGGGGCGGATGCAAGGGGGAAGAGGGAGCAAGAGTGGCAGAGGCAGAGAGAGGCAGAAAAAGAGATACAAAAACACTTCGTTCATCTACAGATATTAACCCACCTCCACATCATGGAGCAACGGAGGTTGATATGCAAATGTTGCCCCAAGCAGAGCTGAACCGTAGAACAGAGAAAATTGGGGGGCAGAAAGCTGTGCAGGGTGCCTACAAAACTATCGAGAATGGTGGAGAAAGCAGATGAGGTCGAAATCTGAAGGAAATTGCTTCGGCGGAGTTTAAAAATAGGACATGAGCATGACTTTTCAACTGTGTTAGTGTGGTAGCTGCCTGTCTTTTCAGAGTTAGACATATACAGTCATATATCTAACAACCAAAACGTCATCTCATTCACTCGCCAGTCATTGGTGCAGGCTCACCATCACGAACTCGCATGTGCAGGGTCTTTTCTACATTTTGCTTCTTGAGATTCAGGAAGACAGGTCTCAATTCTGGAGGGAAGGGCGGAGGAGAGCAGAACAATGCAACCATTGCAAAAGGCGGTGATACAAACTACATAGAATACTGTAGATGAAACAATCAAACAGAGAGCAAAATAAAAACAATGGAGACTCCAAAAGAGGCAGACAAAAAGAATGAACACGCACAAACTACATAGAATATCTTCGATGAAACACTCAAACAGAGATCAAAATAAAAACAATGGAGACTCCAAAAGAGGCAGACCAAAAGCATGAACACTCACAAAAAGGTCAGACACGAACTCATACGACCATGCCAAGCATTCCTTTTTTTTCTCTGGAAAGTGCCCTAGACGACATTACAACTGTGGTCCACCGCTTCATTGCAGTCATCACATGGATTTACATTGCACTGACTTGTCTGCCTTTTACTTTGCAGGATTCTGGAGGAGCGTAGATCTCTCCTCTCAAGGGAGGGCTAGTGAAGAACAGGATATTGCAGGCAATGCGAAATATTTGAAGAGTCCGTGGACAGAACAAACATGGGTGAAACACCTGAATTGACACGCAAAAACAATGACGGGCTCCAAAAAAGGTCGAACGAGAACTACAGGCACAGAGAGCTGAGCAAACATTCCCTATCGCCTCTGGACCCTGCCCTTGAAGAAATTACCTCCCGGGTCTGCTGCTCCAGCTCAGCCATAGCAGCAGCTCCAGCTCCACTGGCTGCTTGGTACGTACTGACAACCATTCGCTTAACCTGAACACAAAGCCCACCAAACGATATCCAGAGTCCAGACCCAACCATCTTGATGCTGAGCTTGCTGCATACTCAAACACCACCTCCAGGCATGCAGACATCTACTAGAATAATAAACAGGAATACCTTGAGCAACGAGCATGAGTGCGATAGACAGAAATCCAAGTTGCAAAATCACAAAGAACCTCAGATAGTCATGAACCAAGCAGGGAGAGCAATGCACCAAGATACCATCCAGACAAGAGCAATACAATGAACTCAAATGTCAATGTCGCCACTCTCTGGTCAGACCAGCAAAGTAGCCAGTGTTGGACTTACTGTCTGGAGCCCAGCGCCCAGCCTATCTAGCCTATCTACGTTCTTGCAACTATCACTCTGAAGTCGAAGACCAATGTACGTGACGTCAACACCAATGCCAACCACCAGCATACACCACGTAAGTTCTCTCTCCTCCCCTCATCACCCCTCGTCTTCCCACAGCATGCGCCTCCTATTCGAAGACCACCTTCGCCATAACCTGCCCAGTGCCCCAGCTGCCCTGCTATGGCCGCTGTGCGCCCACTGCCTCAGCAGTGCCCCTCTCACCACTGCTGTCATTCGCTCCTCCGACCAGCAGCGCCCATGCAGACACTAGCATCGCAACGCAGCAGCGTGTCCACATTGCCTGCCTAGGCCAGAATGCCACTGCCAGGGGCTCACACTTTCCTTTATGGAATGTGTGTCGCTGCTGGCTGTCCTGGCCAGGCGTGTGGGGGCCCAGTAGCTTCAGTTGGGCCCAAGTGTCTGCGCCCAGGCCCAGTTTTCGAAACTGGTCTGGGCCTCGTGCAGTTAGGCACGTCCAGGAAGCCACCCAGCCTCCAAGTGTATGCAGCATTCTCATTGGCTCGCGGCACATGTGTGATGACAATGCTGCTTCCTCATTGGCCTGTAGCCAGTCCGTCATGTGTCGGCCTCACACAGCATGTGCCCAGGGCACAACAGCCTGAGCCCTGGGCTCAACTGTACAGCGCAGCCCCTTTGTTTTTGGAAGGAGCCTGGAGGCTCATATTGTGCTGTAACCAACTGGTTTGCTGAAACTGTACCCACATATGGAAAAGTTGTCGAGAACAGGCCTCACGTGGATATTCAGGCCCGCCTTCACTTAGTGCAGGCATGAGGCTTGCTGGGGGCGACAGCCCAGAACACTTGTATGTCTGATAAGAGCTCCGCGAGGCTCGGTCCTCGCATTCCGTTCTCCTTAGCTTTGAAAGTCCGCTGAGATGCTTCTGCACAGGTGCCTCCCCCTTCAGTCTTCATTCCTACTCGGCCACGATCTGAGGTACTGACTTGCCAAGTTCCTGTCTTGGAAACCAACGATCTTCTTTTGGATCTGTATGATGCCTGAACCTGACCCGGTATTCCCTCATAGTTTTGGGCTGCCTTGCTCTGCCATCAGGCTTGAGAACAGGCAAGTCTCGATGTTCCAAGATGTCGTCGACGTCCACATGGCCATCCATGGTTGAGGGCTGCATTGACCTTCTTGATGGAAACTGTTCTGTCTCAGCAAAAGGTGCAAGCTTGGAAGCGTGAAATACAGGGTAAGTGCGCAGATGACCGAGATTCTTATGACGTACGAGGGACCATCCAGATCACTACCCACGACATCTAGAACTTCCCAAGGACCGAAGTACTGTGGCATTAGTTTTCTAGAGATGCCAAATTCCTGTCCCAGTTCACTAGCCTTTGTTGTCTATGCTTATTCTCAGAGGCAATCATTGCCTCTTGAGATTTCCTGATGTGCTCGACAGCCTGCTGCAACAATTTCTCATCAAATTCAATGTTTCCAGGAGTTGCAGTCGGTCGGTTTTCAGGTAGGAGGAAGTCCAGCGCAGATCTAGGCTTCCATCCCAAATGCAGCTGGTTGGGACTGACGCCGGTCGTGTTGTGTACAGCGATATTGTACAGACCTGCAATGAGGGGAAGTATCTCATCCCAGTCATCTTGGCTGGGTTTGATGTAATGCTGCAGCAGATGCTGCACTACGCGGTTCATCTGTTCCTCTTGACCATTTCCTTCAGGATGATTCCCGAAGGTCATCTGGAGTTGGCTGCCCATCTGTTCAGCAGGCTTCTTCAACATTATGACATGTTCAGTCCTTGCTGTCTCCAACATTGCTATTAGTCTAGCGTACTTAGTGTAACCTGTCCACTATGACGAAGATATGCCTCATGCCACTCTTGCTGCTCACGAGGGTATCCATGAAATCCATGTAGACACTATCTCCCGGACCTGCAGGAATGGGCAAGGGCTTGAGTAACCCAAGCGGTGCTCTAGTACCCGGCTTGTCCTGTTGACAGACTCGACAAGTCTGTACATACTTCTTCGCATCGTCAAGCATACTAGGCCACCAAAAACGTTGTACTAAGTTAGCACTAGTCTTCTTGTATCCGAAATGCCCAGTCGCAGCATAACATTCACCTAGAAACAAACTACGTAAAATCTCACTAGATGGAACAACTAATCTTTTGAACCCTACCTTTTCAAGAAGAGTAACCCATCCATCATCACAAACTCATCTGATGTGGCCTTGTCTTGAGCCTCAAGTTTGCACATGATGTCCATCGTGACGGGGTCTTCCTTGTAGGCTTCCACCATTGACCGAGTTACATCGTCACATAAGCCAAACTCAGTTATTAGCGCACCTAGGTAGTCTGCCCTACAGGATAGATCATCAGCAACCTTGTTGTACTCTCCCTTCACACAGTCTAGTTTGGAGTCATACTGATCAACAACTTCAATCCAACGTTTGACTGCGTCAGAGAGAACGGGTTGTATTGATCCACTCGAGTGTCTGATGGTCAGTTCTCAAGTAGAACAACCTTCCCAACAGATAAGTGTCTCCAGTGGACAAGGGCTTTGTAGAGGGCATAGAGTTCCCTTTCGTAGGTGGACTTCGCCAACTTCTTTTTTGGGATCTTCTTGCTCATGTACTCAATCAGCCTCAGACTTTTTCCCTTCTTGTTGGGCCAGCACTGCGCCAATGCCATATTGGCTTGCCTCAGTGGTCACAACAAATGGCCTCTGAGGATCGGGGACCATGAGAATCTCATGGTGTTAGGGCGTACTTCAACCTCTTGAAAGCAGCCTCACATGTGTTTGTCCATTCCCATGGTATGTCAAGGCGTGTTAGATCAATCAAAGGGGAAGCCACCGCACTATAACTCTTCACGAAATTGTGGTAATAGCCACACATCTCTAAGAAAGATTTGACCTCAGTCACAAACTGGGGTCGTGGCCAATGACAAATGCTAGCTACCTTAGCATCTTCGGGCCTTATCCCTTCCGCGGATATCTCATGACCCAAGTATATGATTTTAGTGCGACCGAACTTGCATTTCTCTAAATTGATTTTATACTTGTGTTGTTGCAGGAGTAGAAGTACTTTTTCTACATGTTGGGCATTCTCCTCGACTGTTCTACTGAAGATAAGAATGTCGTCGAGGTACACAACGGTGAACTTATCCAAGTAGTCATGGAATATCCTATTCATGGTGTGTTGGAATGTGTCGGGCGCATTGCAAAGTCCAAAGGGCATCACCACAAACTTGTACAAACCGTACCTGGTCTGAAATGCGATTTTATAATCGCAATTTGATGGCAACCGGACTTTGAATCTATCTTTGTGAAGTATTTACATCCCTGCACCATATCCAAAATGTCGTTGATGCATGGTAGAGGCTCTGCGTTTTTAACGGTGATGGCATTGAGGCCTCTATAATCAATGCACATCCTTATTGTTCCCCCCTTCTTCGGGACAAATAGAACTGGTGGGTTGAAGGGGGAGGTACTTACCGAATCCAACCCTTTCCTGTAAGCTCTTCCAATTGCCAACGAAGCTCGTCCAGCTCGACCAGAGCCATCCTATAGATTCTCCCTTTTGGTGTCTTACTACCTGGGATGATTTATATGGCATGGACAACCTCTCTATCTACGACTCTTGAAGGCTCCTCGAACAGATCAAGGTAATTAGCAACGACAACTTCTATCTCTGGGGGTGATTTAACGGCCTCCACTTCCTCAAAGAGAAAGATTAAGTACATACATACATGCAACCGTAAGTGTCTATCAGACTGCCAGCCTTATACTTCGCAAGTCTGACAATCCTCCCTTCCGGTAGTACATGCTTAAGCACCTTTTGGTCCCAATCGAATTAGGGTTTTGCAACCTCGAGGTAGTACATACCTAACAGCATGTCAAATGGTAAGTCGTCGCTAACTAGGAACGAAATCTTATGATTTAGTTCCCCACCTCCATAGTAGAAGGTCCACACTTCGTCCTTGACGTAGTCATTCACAACCATGCACTCTTTGTTAGCTAGAGTAAATGCTACAAATATACACAAGCGCTCCACCCGGTCCCCTAGGCGCAGCCTCTTAACGCAGCCGCGACTTATGAAGTTTCACGTGGAGCCAATGTCTACGAAGGCACCACACTTGCGGCCACCTACACCAACTTCCACCACAAAAGGGTCCCCTCTAGGACCCCTGGACATTGCCACCCAAGGCTCACAAGGGTCCCTTGCCGACCACTCCGTTTCTAAGTCTTCTAAAACTTCAGGCACATCCAACGAACAGAGTGTCCTTTGGTCAGAATGTGCCTGCGGAGTGACAAGTGAGTCAATAGTTTCCGCCAAGTCCTGAAGTGGTGAGGGTGCATCACCCACTTCATGAGTAGAGGCAGCTATAACTTCTACTGCCCGGATGTGTTTCCCTAATTGGCGCTCACAAAAGCACCACTTTGGGCGAAAGATCCCCCAAAACCACCTTCAGGAGGAATCTTTTGAGAGACTTTCGTGCTCGTGCATCTAAATTGTCGACGACCATATTCGCCGTAGTTAATGCAAGCTCCTCGTGAATACCAATCTCTCCATACATCCTGATCCAGGCCCGCCCTCACCCAAGCCAAAGTTTTGCTTGAGTTTTGGGCCTGCCCTCGCCCTTGCCGCAGCCAGCTAACTTTCC